CTCCTTTTTGTCAGAAAATACATCCACACACAACATAAACCTATACGCAAACACATTATAGAATAAAGAACTAAAGAATTGTATTTTTATATAATTTTCCTAAGGAAAATGTATCAAATATTGCTTCGATTATAGTACTATTAAATTAAACCCTTATTTTTTGTTAATTTGACAAACCTCTCTTTATTTATTGTATTTATTATAAGCTCTCCCGCGGTTGCACTTCGCCCTCTTTCCAGTCATTTGGATTAAATTCCATGACCGAAAATCAGGACCGGCACATCTGACGTTAAAGTGGATCTTCCCGGCACACTGACCCAGTTTGGGCCCTTTAAATTAAAAGGTACGTCCAATTCGTGTTTCGCGGAGCACGAGTTAAGGTTTCCACTTCGTCCTCCATTCGACCCCCGGCTCGTTAGGAACCACAGGACGAAGCCTCCCGATTTGCGTCCTTCCCCATGGCTCCCTTGAGGTCCGGAACCTGGACACGACTAAATCGGTTTAATAATTCGGTTTCTATTGCGTTCACCTCCTCAGCTTCATGCATGCGGAGCTTGAACGTAACATTTGATATTTTCTCTTAATTTAAAAATAAATATACTTTTAGTATACGGTTATAATTGTGCATATACATATTTGTAAATCATATTTGTATGTCATATCCTTTAAATAAATTGTCATTCCAATACAAAAATATTTTTATTATGTACAAATGTACTTTCTATTCATTAATTTTGTATAAGTTTAGATTTTTTTTAATTCTTGATAGTTTAAATTAAAAAATACTCGACTATTTGTTCAAATAACATTTAAATACATATGTTTATCCTATATACTATTAACATTTTTTCATATCTCATACATTATTAGTATTGTTTTCTATGATATATATTTCCTTCTTATTAATCAGTACTTATAATTTTCCATATGTATTTTATTATTTCCAGAATTTTATATTTTTTATTGCTATATAATATTTTATTTTAATTATCAGCTACTTATTTATATAGATCGATTAGATAGATGTATCTTGAGAAATGAAAATTACAAAAGTGAGCAAATTCACTACAATAATTATAATTTCATTGATCAATACTTGGTAAATTCACTCATTTTTATGTTATTTCAAAATATACACAATCGATCCCAAGAACTGTTCTTTTATAGTTCTACTATAATATACATATAATATACATTTATTGTACTTAAAACGAAATAGATATAATTTTGACGTCAAAGATGCCGACAGCAAGTTGCGCTACTGTATATACTGTGATTCTAATTCCACCATGATAGCAACATGATGGCATCTTGAATTCATGCCAAATGAGTTCGAGATATTATCATGTTATTTTAAATAGTATAGTGTATCCGAAATTATGCTTAGATTATAGTTTCGCGTAGGAAGGCGTAAAGCCTATTCTACAATGTGTTCTTTGTTTTTTATATTTTTATCTTTTTTGCTTTTTTCTCCTTTACGTTTTATCAACAATTGTATTTCTTGTTTTTTTCGAAGTTCATTAACTTTTATCTCGAGCGATATAAAATATAAAACCGGATAAGAAGCAAAAAGATAAGATGTAAAAAATAACAAAAGGCAAGAAACAAGAAACAAAAACCACATAAAAGGTTTAAATCTTTGGCATGAGAGTAGAAAAATTACTTCATGGTTCATTCGCGTACTTAGACATAGTTTTTAGCGTAGTTAAGCGTATTTTCGGGCATAATTAGGCGTATTTTCTGGTGAAGTTTGCCGTATAATTTGGTTTTGATTGGCATTGTTTGGCGTACAAAACCATGAATCGGCTTACTTTGGCATAGAAGTAAAATTCTACACCGAACTACTTCCGTGTGTGTGTTCCAAACCGTATTTAGGAATAGTTCTTGGCGTATTTTGGCATAGAAATTTTTGCGTCAAGGTAATAATACATTATTACATTCATAACTTTTTTATTATATAAGTGTTGCATAAATGAGTATGCGTACTTATAATGTTAATATCTTATACATACATTGCTGCAGTGGCACAAATTACATTTTTTTCTCTACAATCGATGTCATCATCATTGATGACACACCGACACCGACCAGATCTCTGTGCTGTTAAAGACAATCGGTGCCTGCGGAAGTACGCGTAACTATTTAATTTAAATGATGAAGAATAAGAAACTGATAAACTAATAATAATTTCATGATTTATTAGCTTCGTAGATATGTATATATGTTTAAAACTTGATAATACTCGATTTATATTTAAAACTATGATTTTAATGTTCATCCGAATTTGATTACCAATAGAAATGATAACTCCACAGAAAAAATTTTAATTTTTCGGCAATATGTAGGATATTATAGCATTAAAAATATGCGTACTTATTTAAGCAGTTATATAATAAAAAATCACGAATTTAATAAAAAATTATCGAAATATTTATGTTAATAATCATAAATTTTTATTAATTATCGATAATGTCATCGTTCTTCAATTATCCCCGGGCCTTCAGGGTTTCATATTATATAGTAAATCGGAGTAGAGTAAACCTAATAAGGAAACCTATAAAAAAAATACATACTATCTACCAAGATGATGTGGAAGTGATAGCATTTTATCATTTTCTTTCTGTAAAAAGTATGAAAGAAAATTATTTTCTTATATATGATTTGTACTGTGATGTTCGCAACGATTATTTTAAAAACAATTCTTAGTCCATTCACTTATTACTTAAGTAAGTAACGCTTATATACAGAAATAATGAAAAAAAAGAAAAATATTTTATGAAAAAAAAATTTCTAAAAATTATAAAAATTTAATAAAAATAA